TGAATGAGAATGTTTTCCTTTGCTCAATTATATTTGAAGATCCAGCGTGTTTAAAACTCATAGCAGGTACATAGTAACTAACAAGACTTTAAATGATTGCATATGTTTGTACAGAATTACCAAGGCCCGGTATTCTGAGGTGCATACAGAAGATGACATACCGTTCCTAAACATTCTGTAGCCAATCGTTTCAATAATTTTTTTTGTTCCGGAAATATGCGTTTGATCAAGTGCTATTAGGGGCTGTGTAGCAAGCTGGGTAGTTTGAGTGTTAGGTAGGAAATATTTCCCATATCTGGAAAAATAAGGTGGCTTTGCTCAGATAGCTATTTGTTTGAAGGAGGTAGAGATATTCCACAGCCCTTATCAGCATGTGACTGGTTCCCTTGTGCACATGAAGTAATCTCTCTTGGGCATAAAGTTATTCCATGATACTTTTCCTGTCCCCTTTTTTCAGGAAGGGAGAGGGAGATCCCAGAGAATGCAGGTTCTGACTGGGAGCTAAAGGGAGACAAACATTTACTTCTGTAAAAATTCTAGGATTTCTTTTGTTTGCTGAAAATGTAAATATATAAAACTTTGGGGGGATTTTGCTGGTATTTCCCTAATTTCAGAAAAATAATATACTGGATTTTTCTGTTTGTTTAGTAACTGATCACAAGAAACTTAGCAATTACAGCTTCATGTGACTATAAAATGGATATTTTTAACATCCTCTGCAGGACATGTGCATACGTCCTTCGTTATATTGATCTCCTCCTGGTAGTACATAATTATTGAGGAGTCAGAGATTAGTCATTGTGTGATGAATGTCTGAAACTCTTTTGGGGATGAAACAGTTTTGCTTTGTAATGCTAGCTGAAAGGCCACATGCAACCTTTTTTTTTAAACAGCAGTTTTCTTCAAAGAACTTAACCTTAAATGATAGGCCTGCCCTGTTAGAATTGTCTTATGTCCTAGATTTTAAAATCAATTTTCTAAAGACCAAACTTTTTTGAAATCCAGAACAGCAAACATTTCTATACTGGATCAATCTTAATGTGTTTCTAAGCATAGCTTTGTTCACAGTGCATGACAGCACTGAAAACTATTAGCTTAAATCCTAGAGAAACTCCGAAGAAATGTTTTCTGTACTTATGGGCTGTGCTTTCCAGCCATGGCCATTCAGAAGTCCCAGCAACTTTTTCTTGCCACTGAAGTGGTGATGCCAGGAGGAAGTCCTTTTCCAGACTTAGGACCAGCATAGCAGGTTCACTAGTCTCCTTCTCTTACCACTGAGTCATCACCTGATGTCAGGGACATTAGACGGGCCTACGAGCAGGGTAGACTCGAGAACTGACCTCACAGACACAGCAGGTGAAGTTTTAGTACCTCTTTTGAGGCTAATGCAAAGCAGTAGTATAGCAAGCAGAGCAAGGGTTAAGTGGAGCGCTGTGCTCTGAACAGTGGTTGACAGATATGGCTTGTAAGCAACAAATGGGATTGAAAATATGGTTAGAATATGGTTGTATGTTTTTATTGCAGGGATTTTATTAATTGATTTTTAATAATAACTTTTCAGGAATAATAAAAGTAGTCATTTGGCTTTATGCTTAATAGAGTAGCTTCACAGTCATGTTCTGACCAGCTATCAGAACTGTATTGCCACAGAGAAATCAATATGCTTGAAGTAAATTATAATTACGTAATGTTATTGTTCAGATTAGTATTTCAGAGATCCTTAGGTTTGTAGTTCTGATATTGGTCTGCTTTTGGATAAGTGTTAGCCGAATAGTCTTTTTTCTATGTAAACTTGGAAAATCCTTGTTTGTATGTAACAGTGCTTCTAGTAAGTGCTGCTTTGAGATTCTAATTGACTAAGATGATAAAACTCAAATTCAGCATTTGCTAGTAAATTGCTTTGCTCCCTTAAGGGTACAAGTTAAAATAGGATTTTTCCTTGAAGTTCATGTTTTCCTTGTATAGCAATGTGGCATACAATGTGTGCTTATGGTAAAATTGGCATACAACTTTGTTTTTCAATTTAATGATTTTGTTAAGAAGGGGATGCTATTGTGTTATTATGTAGAACTGTACTATTTTGAATAAGACTCCATTATCACCAGGTGAGAATTTTAAAAATCAGTTACGCTAAACTTCTGTAGGTTTACAGTTCAGATCATGTAGATAACCACTTGCCCTCTGTTCTGTGATTACAGTAAAGAGCCTTTATATCAAGCCATGCGATCACCTCAGGATCAAACCTGTGCTTTCTGTTCTTCCAAACAAATAATAAATTCCTACTATTTCAGCATTCCTGTAGCAAGCAGTAAAATACTTTCTTTGGAGGGGGAATACAGTGCTTATAATAGATGTATACTGAAGACTGACTGTCTTACTTGTCTTGTATCATGGTTACTTTACCAGGTAATTTATGCAGATGGCTTAGTCTGAGGGTCTAGTTCTAATTAAACTCAACCTACCTGAGTCAAGATGATTAATTTGTCTGTAGTTTGAAAGCTAAATAATGGGTGGCCAGTCAGTTTCTGTATCATGTAGCTGGCCTCAAGTGACTCTCCTTGAGAGAGAGTATTTTTTGTGCCCTAAAACCTTATTTTCTGTCTGCCGTCTTATGACTACATTACCTTTTGGGCAACAGATCCTCTCAATCTCATTAAATTAGGGTCAGTGTACTGATCTAGCCCTAGGATCAGTGTACATCAACAGCTCTTCCTCCAACTCATATTCGAAATCCTTTTCTCTACCAGTTAATCCACTTCTAGTTTTTTTTAGCTTTCAGTGAGGTCCTTCTCTTAACAGTAGCAATATAATCTTTGGGTTTCCTGTTTCTCACATTTACTCTTGGGAGTTCCATCCTAGAGGAAAGGGTATTTGACTGTTATTTTTTATCACTCTAAGGTGATCAGTGAAGGACTCTTAAGTGTGCGTTCTGAATAATAATCCAAAAAAATTGAAATATTAAAGAAAAATGTATTTGCATAGCAGAAACTTGTGAAGGCATTGTGAATTTTGAATGGCATATCTTAGAAATAGTTTGCCTACAGAAATGTCTCACTGTCCAAAGTTCATTTAAAAAAACCCTCTTAATTAGAAGTCATTTCAAGATAATTTTTGAAAGTTTCTCTTTTCATGGAAAAGGCTCTCAGTGAAGGAGCAGTGGCTCAAAAATAACAAGCCTTTTAAAGGAGAACAGGTTATCTTTTCATCAACATGACCTGTAGAAGTTAATGCAGAGAAAAGGAGTTGTTTTCCCTTAGCAAAGACCAAATAGAGCTTTTTGATACCTTTTTGTGGGCTATGCCTTAATACTGTTCACAGGCCATTGACTGCACTTCTCACTTTATGCTTTGCCACTGTCTCCTTGCAACCAGTGAACTCTCTTAGGTAAAAACAGGTTCATGTTGCATTGTACAAAATTCTGTCACAAGCAGTGCTCTTTAAGTGCTCGTTATCTTGTCAACATTTCCTTCATGTACTGACATCCATCAGGCGTGGAACTCTAATATTAATTCCTATTCTCTCCTCATGTACACGAATGCATCAGTGTGGCACACAGATGGTATGAAGCAGCAAATGGGATGTTGCAGGGTTAGCAGAGAGATTCAGAGAAAGCATGTTGTCTGGAGGGTGCTCAGTTACAGCAGTGGCAGCAGTGGGCAACATCAAGTGTTGGCAAGGGAATTGGAAGCCTGGAGAAGAGTGAAAGACACCTGTGTGCAAAAGAAGAATGTCATATCCCTGACAGCTGTGTGGTGAAGGGAGGGGTTAGTTGTAGTCCATGCTCTGGATTACCCAGTGTTTCACTGGTATTTCTTTATTCATTTGTTAGTATGTGTTTACCTAGTGTTCAAGTGTGACCAAGGTAGGGCTAGAAAACAGTAAGAAGTAAACTGCTCTTGTTATATTGAGTTAAGTATTGTTCAGATGCTGTGTGTTTACTGTAATATTTTAGGTTGATCTGATCAGTACTAGATTGGCTTTATTGAACTTAATGTTCAAAATGTAACTGAAATGATTTTTCATCTGCTTTTCTGTTCTATTTCTCTCCCTGTCAAAGGCATGGCCATTTTATTTTTGTGAAAATACTGAATAGAAGGATTGTTAATATTTGGGTTTTAGATCTTCTGTTGGGGACTGTGTCAGAGGGAAGTAATGCCCCTTAATACCAAACATAACACACTAATTCCTCTTTCCACAGCAGTGTGAAATGAAGTCGGGTGATAATGTAAAGTCTGTTTCCTACTAGTTCTTTAAAGACCTTGACTGTTGTGTCTATATTACGTTGAGAGTTCCTAAGTGTATTAGATGTTTAAAAATATGACTACGCTTTGAATACATTGCATCATGTGTTACTTTACTGTTTCATAAAGCTTCTGTAAGCTTTTTGAAGGACTTCAACCAAAATCTGAATTCTGATTGGATGACTACCACTTCATGACTACAGATAAATTATTTTTGTGCTAAAGTTTCTTATGTAACTTAGCTTTAAGTCAGCTGTATCTGAGAACAGGCTGTACATACATGCCTCATTGATGCTGCTTTTTGATCAAACAAGAAGACTTCTTGGCCTTCTTCAGAAGACCTTTGGCTAACTCAGAAATCCCATGAAGGGATGCAGCGAAATGTACTATCTTCTCTGTTATTTTAGAGGGAAAAGTGTGTTCAGTTTTCTTCAATTGTTCTGCAGTTTAAATCTACAACTAATGCATGAAAAATGAGAAGAGAATGCAATTGGATATGTAAAAAAGTCAAAATATACTTTAAAATGGGAGCAGTTTCTTATGCCAATGTAATTTGTTTAAAGTACTGTTGATGAATATACCAGCAGTCTGCATCTGCATTTTCTGTTTTGGCTCTGTTCTTAGTGGCACAAGAAAACCACATGTGCAGTATGATTTCAAGCACTCTATACCTTTCAGTTACTTTTGTCATTTGGAAGCTAATCTTGTCAATGTAAAGTTATGCAGATTTGTTGTCCTAATATTTGAATTTTGTTTCAGAGCAAAGTAGAAGAGATGATTTGGAAGCTTTAGGTCATATGTTTATGTATTTTCTCAGAGGAAGCCTTCCATGGCAAGGTTTGAAGGTAGTGATTTTTTTTGATATCTTCACCTCCTTCCTGTTTTCAGATCATCAGCTTTTATTGGCCTGATCTTTTTCTTTTGGAAAATTTGTCTGCAAATTGTATGACTTCAGAAGATGTTTTTGTTCTTGTATCCTAGGCTGATACATTAAAAGAACGTTATCAGAAAATTGGAGACACAAAACGAGCAACACCAATAGAAGTTTTGTGTGAAAATTTCCCAGGTAATGTCTGTTAATAAAAATGCTGTGTGCAGATCTGAGAAACAAAACTGGCATGGATCATTTTTTATAAAATTTGATGTTGTAAGTAAAATAAAACAATCCTTTCAAATACTATTTTATGTATTATGGTAACAGATAAGAATTGTCCTTTGAAACAGCAGTAAATTAGTGCTGGTGTTTTTCAATGATAGTTTCTTCTAAAAGAAATATTAACAATATAGCATGATACATATTCTTACAGTGATCAAATAGTTTATATTATTCAGATATAAAATTTTGCAAGCCTTCTCGACTCTAAAACTGATACTTATTTCAGATCTCAAAAAATGACCAACTCTTCAGCTGGTACATGCTCATTAGCAACAGCTTGAAATATTTAAAACAATGAGTTGCAAGTAGTTTCAGGTGATGCTTGCTGTATGGTTGTCCTTGAACTTATGGAGCATCAATGAGGTGTTAGACTTGAGAAAAGCAAGCATGGCATTTATCTTTTTAAAGCTGGAGAAGCTGAAGAATTGCAGTTCTGGGGTGGGGATTCAAAATGAAGTAACACTGTGAAAGATAATCAGGAGATGATTGGTAGGTAAAATAGAGCTGCCAAGAACAGCTCATGGTAAACAGATTAGATTATGTTTTATGGCAAGACAGATCTCGTGGAGAAAAGAGGCAGATGCCCTATGTAATAAGACCCTCATCAATCAAGAGGAATCTACTGTGGGAGGAAAGATGTAAAACTATCTGAAGTACTTGAGTACTGGTCATTGTCGTATTGAAAGCGTGACAAGGGATTTCACAGCGGTCTGTACTGGGCCTGCTCAGTATTTTTATGAATGCCTTGTGTAACTGTTTATTAAACTTGCAAATGATAAGTTTGAAAGGCATAGCTTGGACAGTGGAATTAGAATGAAAGGATCTTGACAAATTACGAATATGGTCTAAAAATATAAGATACAGCACAATAAGGATGCATTTTAGGTAGTATGTGAAAATATGATCAAGTACAGATTGAATTAGTGGGCACAGTGAGGTTCTTCAGGTAATGATTTAAAGGTCGGTCACAAAGTGAATGAGTGAACAGTGTCATACTGTGTTAAATACACATATATATATATATATATATACACACACACACACACACACACACCAGACTGGATTATATACACAGGATATAGCCTGCAAGATGGATGAAATACCATTTCCACTCTACTTAATACAGTGAAGCCTCAGCTGAAGTAGTATGTCCAGTTTTGGGGCCTGTGCTTCAAGAAAAAGTATCCTAGTTTAAAGGTTTGCTGTAAATGGAAGTGAGAATACTTATAAGTCATATTTGCGAGACCTCTTGAAGACTGAAGGAACAAGGATTGTTTTAGCCTAAATAAGACTGAGGAAATGAGCGTTTTCTGTACCTTTTGACTGCTATAAACATGAAAGGAATCTGCTGTGTCCCCAGCAGAGAAGACAAAGTAATGGACTTAATCCAAAACAATTAAGTTTAGCCTTAAACCCTTATGTTTTAAATACAGCAAAGAGCTGTCTGGGACACTGGAGCTTTTCACTGGAGCTATGTGAAAACAGATTGGATAGGTCTATAACTGATTTGCTATGGGATAGAGTGGTGTACTAGCTGACCTCTCAAAGTTCTTTCCAATGCTGTGCTATTAAGCAGGCCCATTACTGACTTTCTGATGCTTTTAATTTCATATTCTCAGGATATAAAAGATTTTCCTTCAATTTTTAGATTAAAAATTGATTAAAAAATAAAAATTTTCAGATTAAAAATTGAAATCAAATGAAATTGACTCTTCTAGTACAGAACTAGAGCAAATGTCTGAAAATAAACTTCTATTGGTTCACAAAAGTAGGGAAAAACCCCTGTGTTTTGGAATATAAATCTTCTGGATCCAGTATTGCATGCTTATTTTTCTGTAGTTACTAGCATGCTTTTAAAAATATTAAATCTAGTTTGAGCCTGTGTGGTGCAGTTTCTGCAAATAGTTATGGATAAGAATAGCTCCATGTATGTGGTGGACTACGTGTGCCAAAGTTAAAAACAAGTACACAGCTGTTTACGGGATTAGGCCCAAAAATGAAACAGGAAAATATATTTTTATCCTGGAGAACACACAGGTAAACTTCTTAGAGAATCCATATCATAATAGCTGTATTCTTGCATGTGGAAGTTCTTGCATTTCAAGTGTCCGTAGATGTTGTACCTTTGCCCTGTCATGCTTCCCTCTTACAGCATGGAACATAATGAAAAGTGCATCTACCACCTCTTCAGTTCCTTTCAGTAGCTAACTCGAGTTCCAGAAGGCAAGAGAACTCGGTACTTTCAGTGAAAGATGCATTTCACATGCAACAAAAATCAAAGCATCTTTTTCATCCCATGTTGTATGGGATTGTACTGTCTTTGAGAGGTGCCAACATGGCTGCTCTTTCAAGCCATAAATGAAACGTGAGTGAGGACTCAAACTCTTGATTTCCGCTTCAACTGTGCGGTGAGGATCTTCTCTGATTTTTGGACTCAGCAGGTGTTTTGTAGCAGGTTCATCTGCATTAAATGGCTCAGCTCCAGCCTCCATACCACTGAAGGTGCCCCTTGTATCCTTTGAGTCTTGGTTTACCTCAGGAAAGGTCCATTGGTGATGTGTCACACTTCTCTTCAGCTTCTTCAAACACTGACCTCCTCGGCCTGTTTAATGGTTGAAGAGTCTTGCTTGCCTGCTGAGTTGGACCTTTTTTGCTGAGAAAGCTTCAGTCACTGCTCCGTCTGCTTCTGCCCAAACCATAGTGCTTAATGCTGTGTTTTTAGCAGAACTGATTTATTATTTAGTAGCTCTGGGTGACTTGGTACCATCCTCCTATGCTGCAATCCGGACAACACCAAGCTGTGTCCCGACTTTTTGTTATCAAGCTGGTCTGGACCCTTCACCTATCCCTTGGTTTCTACACTACTATCTCTGAAAGGGCATAACTTAGCGTAAGTCAGCCTTAGCACTGCCTCTGAAGTTTTCAGCCTCCTTTGTGAGGAAGAGATTCTTTCAGCGCCTTGTCTGTACTGCAAAACATTAGCTTCTCCTCTTACTGGAGTGTGATGTGCGGGGTAGAGTGAGAATGCTGTGATACTGTTGTGCTGCTCCTGGCATGCATGGCTTTTCATGGGATTATTGGGTGGGGGTGGCATCTTTTTTGAACCTTATTTTTCCTCTGACTCTATGGTTCTGTAGTTAGGGTGCCTTGGGACCACTCTGAACTACCTTTTAGGCTTGAGTGTGAGGAGTCATTGCTTTTCTTTGATTGGGTTGAGTGGGGATGTGGTTCACTCTTCTTCCATGGATGACAAAGGATCCTAAGCAAGTTACTTAGATTTTGAGTTCTGCCTGTCCGTCAAACTTGTGTCCCAGGACTGAGGTAAAATGCTTCACCTTGATCTATTTCAGAGTGTGAGGGGTTCTTACAGTGCTCTGTTCCAAACCACCACCTTGTGATTTCTTGTCTGTAATGGGAATGTGGGGATGGATGCTGTCTGAATGAACCAGAACTTCAGCATGGTTAGCCTGTTGTTCTGTTTGCTACTCCAGTACTTTAGTTCTTTCTTATGGTGCCTGTTAGAGTGGAAAGACCTGGAGGACTTCGTCTTTTGTGAAAACTGGGTAACTTTTATCTCTCCTCACCATATGCTGCTTGCTTAAACTGCTGTGTTTCTGCAGCCCCCTCCTCAGTTCATTGATTCCTGAAGGCATTATTGCAAATGTGATCACCTGTCTGAATAGTTTCTCAATGGGAGCTGAAGCCTGTGCTTCAGCTGCTCACCGGCCTTCCCTTTCAGCCCTTGGATTCTTGTCTTCTCTCCATAAGGCTGGCTGTTCCTTATTGCTGTTGTCTCAGAAGGGTGCTGGACATTCAGTCCCTTGTGGCTTATGTGGTTCCTGATAGGAGCTCTGTGATGGCTTGCTCTAGGCTCCTGCCAGGAGCTGGTGCTGGAGTTTCATCTTAATTCGGAGGCTCCTTCTGCTAGTGCTCAGTCTGTACTTTATCCTCTTAATGACTAGGACAGTTCTTTCCTTTTATCTCTACATGTCCAGGCCCTTTCACAAACCTCCCTGGTTGTCTCTGCTACTGAGAGATGTGAGAGTTCTAGAATTGCCATGTAATACTCACACAAATGAATCTCCATTTGTATGCTGACCTGCTGTTTAAACAGTAGTAGTAAACTTCTGACACTGGTCAGAAATCATTCTACAAGAGCTCAGACAATGTCAGTCCTTCTCTGTGGTGTGTCTGTTCTGGATATCTGCCGTTTCTCTGCAACACCTTCACTGAATTGAATATAATGCCTGAAGCATCCAGTGGTGCTGCAGTCTTCTGTCATAAACAATGATTGCTCAACGGAGAAGACCACACCAGGTATTTTTTGTCAGAACAGCTGGAATTGCCCACTTCAAAATGTACATGAAGATCCTTCCTTAAAGAAAGGGGAAGTTACTTTCCAGCAACAGGTGTTCTTTGAGACATAGTCCACCCTGTATGTTTATATGCCCCCTGCCTTGCCTTTCCTAAGGCTTGTTTTTTGTACAGTTTCTTAGAGGGGGTTGAAAAACAAGCAAACAAACAAAACAAAAAAAGGCATTTCCCTCTGTACCTTTCCTGTTGCACAGAGCATGAGGTTGGAGAAGTTGGATGGAAGATGGATAATTTCTGCAGGTAATACAAAAGCGAAATTAAGGGAATTGACGTGGTAGGATGCAGGTGTATTTTCTTAGGATATATTTAGAATGTGGCAATGCATCTTGAACACTGTTACTGCTAGTAACTTTCCTTTCTGATAACTTACAGAATCATGGCAAACAACTGTTCGGCTCTTATGGTGAGAGGCAGAAGAAAGGGTTATTTTAATAAATACTGTTTTTAGTGAGCCATTGAAACGCACGTGGCAATTATGCATGTTTCTTATTTACATAGAGGAAATGGCTACATATCTACGTTACGTAAGAAGGCTAGATTTTTTTGAAAAGCCGGACTACGACTACTTACGAAAGCTCTTCACAGACTTATTGGATCGGAAGGGCTATATGTTTGATTATGAATATGACTGGATTGGCAAACAGTTGGTGAGTACAATTAAGCTGCTAAGATGTTGGGTTTTCTGGTCGATTTTGAGACGTTGTTAGTCTTGAATTATGGGATACAAGTGCTTCTCATGCCAGCTGTTAGTTATAAACAATTTCCATTACAGATATGTTTTCAGATGTTACCTACCTCTTGGCCTGATTTTTTTTTTGTACTGAATCTCTTCCTGAACACTTACTCTTTTAATACCAAACAAAATCCCCTTTTGGTCTTGAAAAAAAAGTTGTAAGAATTCAAATTTCTTTTTCAGCTGAACAAAGTTTAAAACTTTGCAAATGACTGTTGTCATTGCATGTATTTGCTTGATTTGGAAACTTTCACAGAGTTTTTAAAACATTAAAAAAAATCACTTTGCACCTGCGATTTACACCAGATGTTAATTGTGGAGAAAATGTGTGTACGTTTTATAAGCACTGTTTCAATGAAATATGTTGTAGAAAATGAATTTTCACTGCAGTGCATCTAAAGTTACAGCAAATATACTGTGGTTTTGCTTCAAAGAAATGGTAAAATATGAATTTTTCAGGAACTGGAAGTTATTTTCTCCTTTTTTAATAAGTAGAGGAGAGGTTATGTGTGCATAAATTCAACAATTTGAGGTTATATTCTCCCAGAGACTGGCACAAGGAACAGCAGGGAGGAACTGTGACATTTTATTGCTAATACCCTTTTTAATGTTTAGTATTAAAATTTGCTTTAAACTTCTCTTTAGACTTTCAGTAGAATGTCCCATAAAGAGATGCTAATTGCAGAGATCTCATAGAAAACTGACACCTGATAATACTCATGACTGATAATTTATGCAATTGTGTAGTTGTTCTGAGTCCAGTCTTCTGAATAAAGCACAGATGATTTTTTCATTACAGAGTTAGCTGATAAAGTTTAAAAATGCTATACAAGTTGCCTTTTGCTTATATTTATAGTAGTTTAGATAACTTTTTAAGTAAATAACTTTGTAATGTAACAGAAAGTTGTCATAATTATGTTAAATTTTAAGGAATACAGAAAACAAGATTTGCTTTGTTTTTTTGTTATTAGTGAATATCTGCTGCAGTTTTACTTGATAATTTGAGATTATAGCTGTATAACAATTGATGACAGATTTAGACATTAATTTGGATTACAATGCAGTAATTTTTGGTAAGACTTAGAAAATTTATTTTTTTTACCAGTTGCTACATAATGTTTATATTTGTAGCCTACTCCAGTGGGTTCAATCCATTCAGATCCTGCACTGTCTTCAAGCAGAGAAGCACATCAGCACAGGGATAAGATGCAGCAATCCAAAAATCAGGTAAACCACTCATGTGAGATTAGCAGCATTACTTTGTCTTCTATCTAATGATTTGTGCTAAGTTGCTCTCGCTTCTATTAGAGCTCTCCAAAATAAAATTGACTCCAACCTTTTCTGTCTGTTTCTCTTTGGTTTGGGTATGTCCTTGTTAACACATTTCTACCTCTGTGGACCTTAAAGCATCCTAAGAGGGTGCTTATTTTGGTGCTGATATAACTTACCTTAGTAGCAGATTTTCTCTCTGATTTACTCTTTAAATACGTTTGTTTTCTGTTTTGTATCTCTTCCTTGTATGCTACATCAGTCTGTTTCTGTTCTGCCACATGTGTATTTTTCTTACTTTTTAAAAACCAGCATAATAGCTATAGTAAAAACATGAATTTAGATCTTTGTCCATTTATCTAAGCCTAGTTATATGGTTATGGTGATGGTGGGCTTTTTGTTGTGAGGGATGTAGTTTTAGTTAAATTGCAGCTCTTCTATCAAAATAGACCTGTAATGTCTATTTTGTATGTATGTATACAGATATGTATGTATACAGATAATGTAGAGGTACATTCTGTATAGGAATTGAATGTGTAGAGCTTCTGTGCTTTTAAAAAGGAAACTTATGCATGAATGTTTTAATGTTATGGGTTTTTATTTTCCCTTTTGCCTATATGCCTAACATATCCGAACAATGATAGTCGACAGATCATAGGGCAGCTTGGGACTCCCAGCAAGCCAATCCACATCACTTGAGAGCTCACCTAGCAGCTGACAGACATGGTGGCTCGGTACAGGTATTTTCTGCTTCTTTGCATGACTAATTACTTTTGTGTTATGGAATATCAGTCTCCTGCAGTACCTGACACGATTCTTCTCTTCAGCTTACATTTGCTTTCTGGTTCTGTTCAGAATATGCCTGCTCTTCCCTGCTTCACAGTTACCAAACTAAAATAAAAACAGATGCAGAAAGCTGTGGATCTTCTTGTATGTTGAATTTCTGCTGCATGTTCTTCAGTGAGAACCTAAAACAATGGAACTGTCCATCTTTCTAAGGCAATATATTCTGACATCAGTGAAACCCACTGAAGTTTAGAAATCCCATACGGTATTAGTTGTACTAGTGAGTAGAATATTGTTGGTTTAATTCAGTATTTATTAAAGACATACTGCTTATGCAAACTTCAAGCCAAAATGTTAACTAGTGATTTTGCTTAAACTTTACTCATTTTTTTCAATTATCAGCTGACTAGAAGAATGTTGTCCAGGGCAGTACTTCATACTTATCAGTGAAAAATGAGTGGAATTTTTCCTTTATTATTCATTTTTTTTCATTTATAAAGAGCTTTTTTCCTAACATGCTTACTTTTTTGGTATGTTGTTCTTTGAATATATTTCATTGGAGTGGGATATCTGGAATAATATGCAGGAAATCTAAATTTAATATAGAAAGATTCAAAACTTTAGCTGTATAATCTGTATAATAATTTGATATTTCAGTCCTAAATTAAAATAATTGAGGCTTGTAATATGTTGCATGGGGAAGAATTAAGTTTTTCCTTTGCTTGTATTTTGGATTCTGAGAATCTAAGTTACATATGTTTCTTTTACAGTTTGTTTTTTGGAAAGTTTGTGCCTAATCCTGAAGATAAGGGGTGAAAATTCCAGCATAAAGAAAAGCTGCAGTCATATCACCTTGATAATTCAGTAGAATAAACAAAGTATCTTCTTAGAATGCTTTGATATTTAGTTTAAACTTTACATCCACTGATTTTTGCTACTTTAGAAACTGCTATTTAGTCGTATAAGAAAAGCTACTGGATGATTCTTAGTGTTTACCAAGAAAAATTTAATTGTTCTAGGCCACTTCTTGAAAAGCTTTATTTTTAAAGCCATGTTAATAGCTTCACATTGACAAATATTTTGAAAACTGTACCAGTATTCTTGACTTGACAACACAATAGTTCTCTCGAGGACATCGATTGTAAAAGTAGTCAGTTTATCCTTTGAGAACAGTATAGTAATGCGGAATCTAAATTGAATTTGAGTTTATATCTTCCAAAGTTATTACATTTTTTCCATATTTTTTGTCATTCAGATTAGAAAAATATTTAACTTGTTAAACTCCTGTTGGTAGAACTTTAAAATTGTGTAATATATGTAAAAGTACCACAGATAATTGAAAGTTGAGTTTACGGAATAGGCTTTAGTGTGTTTATATTTTCTGTGATGTTAGTGAGACATTTCTCATCTTTGAGATCAGTTTTATGCTGAATTATTGTCTTCTCTGTAATCTGTGAAAATCTGGGAAAAAACTTTCTTTTAAAGCGACATCAGAACGCTAGGTCCTTGTCATTACAGATTTTTAATTCATTGCTGTCTGTGAGGTCCTTCTGCAGCAGATTTGAATCATTAACGTTTTAATGAACTTCATTGTTACGTATATTAAATGAGTGGATTATGTGCTGGTGTATAGGTGTATATAGCTGGTGGGTATGCTTATGTTCTTGGTAATGTTCAAGTAGGAAGCATTCAGTCAAGACATTAATGTTAGTGAAACAGGTCAATATCCCAAAGTTTTTGTGCGCTAAAAAGGTAGCGAGAACTATCTTGATTCTTCTGTCTTAACTGGAAACTTGTTAGTAAAATAGAGCATTCTAGATGTCACTAGTGATTTGCTTAGTTGTGCAGACTGGCTTTATTTTTGAAGAGTGGGGAATCTGGTTTCTGAGATTTGTAATGGAATGAAAGATAATTTGCTAAGCCTCTTTCAACTTTTTGTAATTCCTTATTGTGGTGGCAAACGAGTCAATTGGCAGATGTATTTTCTGAGAGCCTTTCCGCCTTAATTTTGAACACAGCAAATAAGAGTAGTTTTCATGTACTTGAATCCAAAACAAAGCATAGTGATAGCCTGAAGATTTACTGTTACTGTTTGATATATTGGTATTCAGGCTTAACTTTAGTCTTATTATTGACTCTTATCAAGCTCTAAAAGGAATATGTATCTAAGCTCATCTGTTTCACAATTAATATGCTTGCAGGTAGTGGGTCGAGTATCTTAAATTTCTTAGCTTTATGGCATACAGGAAAACAAGCACTGTCCAAAATGCATATGCTGCTTTATATATATGCTCTTGAAATTAAACTTCTAAAGAACTGATGTAATTTTTAAGAACTAAATTTAAACCAATATATGGTCTGTTAGAAAGATGCTTTAAGTTGTTTTAAGTCTCCAATTCAGGGTTTAATCTCCCACTTATAGATGAACAGCTTAGGTTCATCTTCAATATTGCAATGCTTCTAAAAAGAATCTGAGCTTAAAATTGGCTGTAAGAAGCCAAATTTTATGACTGTTCATGAAAACTTTGAATATATTTTTTGTTGACATAATTTTTAGATGTAAAGATAACATACATGCACACTTCTGCCTACAGTATATAAACTCCTTATAAGGTAAATTCTTTCCATCTTTTGTCAGATTATTAAGAAATCCAGTCCAACTCCCTAAGTAAGGAATCAAATTAAAAATTTCTTAGTAAATCTGTTGTTAATTTAATGTACCACTTCTCTGCCTTCCTTTCCCAAAGTTCTAGCCTTTTATGTGAAGACACTATGATGAAACTTTCTTGCTGTATTTCTGGTACATTCTGACTACAGAATTTGGCGTATCACAGTTACAATGCATAAGTTGCCTTCCAGGTGACTTTTGTTCTTATTTTTGTCAGATTCCCATATCTTTTTCCTCTAACATGTTATGCTGATTACCAGGACTGTTAACATCTTGTCTGAGAGAAAAGTCTAATGGCTGATCTGACTTAAGCTCATGTGCTCTGAGATCAGGAGAGTACAAATACTCCTTTTACCCTGCTTTAGCAGTCTTTTACCAAGTCCATGTTTTGGTCTGCAGAAGTTCCAAAGAGAGCAGAAGAGTTGCTGACAAAAGGCTGATGAGAGCCATCCACAAGTTTTGAATCAGAGTCAAAAAAAACAAAAACCTAAAACCTTTATTTGGCTCATCTACCTCTCCAAAATAGATTTTTTTTCTAGCAGTGATGAGAGGGCAGACCATAAAGTGTGTAAGTACATTTTTGTTCCTGTCAAAATATTCTGTTTCTCATTGCTTTTTCATCCATTGGAAGAAACCACAGCAAGGAGCTTGAGAAATAATTTTGATAGCTGAGGTGTTAATGTAAGAAAGACTTTCGGATACCTACTTTCCTGTTTGTCAGTTCAAATGAAGAATGTGCTTATACTTGAATGTAATCCCCTTTTTGAATCTGCTGTCCAGTAAAAGCAGATGTGAGTGGTGGAATCAACACTCCTAGGAAAGGTGTGAAGGAGAAGGCCATGTGAAATCTCCAGAAATAACAGGGTTGGCCAATGTATTTGATGTTTGAAAGGATTAACAGTCATAAAATATTTTTATTTCCTTTTTGTAGGAAAAGGAGAAAAAAATCTGATTTGTTTTTGCAATACGAATGGAAATATCTATTCTTTACAGCAGTCAAGAATGCTAAGGTGTACAGGTTAGCTTCCCATCCAAAAAGATGGATTTTTGTTGTTTCATGAGGTACCCTACTCTTTTCCTTATTTGAGGAAACTGAAGGCAAAGGCTTCTGGTTCTAGTCACCTGTTGCTAATGCATAAGCACAAGTCTGAAGATCTCTTTGGGAGAAACTTATCTGAAGTTTAGATCATGGAGCAGAATTCCTGAGTGATTAGGACTGCAGGCAATGGCTACAATCTTAATTGGGTGGCATTGTTTTATATGAATTAATACAGGGCTACGGTTATGTTTTGGACTCTTTGAATCCAAAACTCATTTGGTGGACAAGATTAGAGAATCACAGAATGGTTGGAAGGGATCTCTGGAGATCTAGTCCAACCCCCCTGCTCAAGCAGGGTTGCCTAGAGCACATTACCCACGATTGCGTCCAGACGGCTTTTGAACGTCTCCAGGGAAGGAGACTCCACTACCTCTCTGGGCAGCCTGTTCCGGAGCTCAGTCACCCTCACAGTAAAGTTTTTCCTCATGTTCAGATGGAACTTCCTGTGGTTCATTTTACGCCCGTTGCCTCTTGTCCGGTCGCTGGGCACCACGGAGAAGAGTCTGGCCCCCGCCTCTCGACACCCTCCCTTTAGATACTTGTACGCATTGATCAGATCTCCCCTGCGCCTTCTCTTCTCCAGGTTGAACAGTCCCACCTCTCTCAGCCTTTCCTCACTGGAGAGATGCTCCAGTCCCTTCATCACAGTAGCCCTTTGCTCTATATGAGCAATACGTGTTATCTACCCTTATTTCATGAGTCATCCTATCTGACTTAGCACTTAGTCCTCAAATGTTATTCAGAAAACAGTTTATTCTACTCAGTTTACTCTAAAACGCCATATGCTTCTGTGGTGCTTATCACTCCTATAGCTGGGTATTTCACAAGTAGTAATGAATTTATCTGCCCAGTCCTGGTGAGATGGTCAGAATGATCCTATTTCCCCTCACCAGTAAATATGGCAAATGATGACAAGTATTAAGGTAATATTGTAAAAATCTATTAGTCCAGGGTATTCAATTTAAAAGGCCTGACTTGCTATTTTGTTTTGTTAAAGTACAATTTCCCTCTTACTTCTATCACTGCTTATTCAGTGCTTCTGCAGTCCCCAGTGATCTCAAATAAAGCATCTTGGGAATGAGGAATACTGTTAGTTAAAGCCACATATCCATCACAACAGAAATCAAGTCTAGTTTCCCAGGATTGCTTCCAGTATGTTGACCAAAAATGGAGAAATGAAGTTCTTGCGATCTCAGACATCTGTTCTCCTGTTTTGATATTGAGCTCACGGAGATTGCTAGGGAAAGTGCAGGTTGCTGCTGTTTGGGTTTTTTGACAGTGGTTCTGATGTTAGCACAACATCAAAAAGAAGAAAACTTAGTCTGAGCCAGGTGTATGGGAAATAACAAATAGCTGAAGTTCAGTGTACTTCTAAAGCTCCTATTAGTTGGTTACAACAAACTATAGAGCAAGCCTTAGTAGGTGAGGCTATTAGCTCTGCTTATAAATAGAAGACACAGAGTAGTTACGTTAAGAGTGGGAAGTAACAGCATGATAACTTTCCTTCCCTTTGCTTTCTTCTATCTTAATCTCTGACCTTCAGGCAACAGCTCGTAAGAATCTTGAAATCCAAACTACTGTTGGTCCACTTTCCTTTAGCTTAAGCTGTAATCTTGATTGTTTTACAGATGCTTTCGGCAGGCTCTTCTATTATCTGACCAGAATTATGTTTTTGTGCAAAGATGCTTGGCCAAACACCAAACATTTGTTACAACTCCACAGCTAGTAGACCTTTTATACTTTAATAGATGGGTTTAGCACTGTCAGCTGCCTTGATCTGGTGTCCACTCATCTATATCCAGTTAACATCTGCCTGGCAGATTCCTTGAGGTGATTAAGGGAGAGGCCTCTAGAATGGCTACATTAGTCCTACAGTAAAACTGGTAGGAATAGTGTGAGAGTAATAGTAGATTCCTTTTGGTTTAAAGTCAAAACAAACATTCCCCGAGAACCAGGTTTGTCCTGCTGGCTCCAGAATTATGAAGGAACCTGAAAGGAAATTAATGGGATTGAAAGTAAAAAGCTGTAGTTTTTGATAATAGTAATGCCCTTGTGGTCTTGGGAAGCAAGAACAAATGCCTAGATTATTAGGTCCTTGACCTTTATTCTTCTGGTGAGTGCTCTTTGAGGTAGAGCTGCGTCTGCCCACACGAAGAAGAAAACAAAGGAACTTGAATACACCAGAGAAGCAGAGATGTGGTAGGACTACTTGAATTAGGATCAGGAAAGGAAAAGACCTGGTACAACTTTTTGCCTTTCTTTAAGGCTTGTAAAAGACACCAGAGGAAACCAGCAAGCCTGACAAGCAGAATTGCTTTGCTTAGTCTGCTCTCTTTAAAGAGTCTTCCATATGTCTGTTGCGCTAGTAGAGATGATAAAAGTATGGCAGGAAGCCAGGGTGCATGAGTAAAAGTTAGAATATATAATAGAATAAAAAGAATTGTGGAATTAATTAAAATAAGTCTTGAAGATGTATTGTAACTTCAGAAATTTACAAATATGAGTCTGGCACTATAAGTGATGTCACTTATTTCTGGTGATTGCAGGTAGTAAGCTCTACAAATGGAGAACTGAACACAGATGACCCAACTGCAGGCCGTTCTAATGCACCCATCACAGCTCCTGCAGAAGTAGAAGTCATGGACGAGACAAAGTACGTCCTTCATTTGTATTCTTTTGAGCCTGTGTGCTTAGCTACTTATCTAGTTACTTGAAAAATCTTGTCTGAACACAATAACCACTGATGAGGGGCAAAATAGTACAGTGCTATACTTAACTTTGGCTTTAAATATTTAAACAGTGTACTTTCTATAACTTGTGCTGTTTTAAGCTACAACTTTCCATGACATATCTCTTAGAGTAGCGCTTGCGTGTTTGATCTTTAACTAATTTTAAAGAATTTAGTTTAAGATAACTTTTGGTAGTCAGAACACTATGTATAACAGATGTAGAATTCTTTCTCTGTGTTGTATTCTGATTCTCTTTTCTCCCTTATTTTCTTTATGTATAGCTGCCAGAAAGTGTTGAACATGTGGTGAGTTCTAAAGCAGAGGCAGGCAGAAATAGCCCCATTGGTTTTATTCTCATTGCGCTAAAACTTATTTCAGAGACCTTTAATATTGCAATTCAAATTAGAAACTAAAAAACAATGCTTAATATCATTAAACAGTTAGTTTTTTTTTTTTTACAAACAAAACTGTCATGTTGAGGAGCTATTTTGCCTGCTTCAAATCTTGCTTGCTTTTAAGTCGTAGTCTGTAGTGTATTCTAACTAATCCTTTTTAGTGGGTGGTACAATATTTTTACTTATTTGCTATACTATTTTAGAGGGGAGAACACTGCTTTTCAGATGGTATAGCATTCAGCCAGTGTTTTAACATACAGAAAATTACTCGCATATATGAACAAGCAATAAATGCCAGCTAATGTTTGAACTTTACTCGTTACTTTAAATGTGCTTATGTATGAGTCTTTGACAACCTGCTAACTACTTACTAAAAAGAACTTTGGGGTGCCTAAAATTACAGTGAAATGAAAGGGGAAAATATTAAGATTTTTAAGAAGGTGGAGTGAGCCCTAGTGTTTATATATATTCAAGGAGTAAAGTCAAGCTTTCAGAAAAGTGCGGAAGATCTTGATAGCTGAAGACAATAACTTTTAACATTTCTTTTAATTTTTCTGGGAGTTGAATTTTGTAAGGGCATGTATCTTAGATGATTGTAAAATAGAGGCACTGCAATGTGAAAGCATGTGTCAGTAGCAAAAAACAGTAGGAAAAAACCAGTAAGCATTCCTTTATAGCCATGAATTTTGTAGGACTCAGTCTTCCTAACTTTTAAACAACGGAGAGTTTCTTAGGACAATCACTTCAGGAAATACTATAGGTTCTGGTTTTGATGTGCATGTTCTATGTGCGTGCGTAATTAATTGTGAATGGCAGTGTCTGTTGTACCACATCTGTGCCCTACCTTTCTGTATTAGATGATGTGTGGGAAGGCCAGTTACTTTCCCTGCCATGTTTACAAAGAGTGCTATAGTGTTTTCATTTATACTTCTGGCAAGAATCTTGTTTATTTAAAACAAACAAAACCCCCAAATCCCTACCAACACCTTCCCCCCTCCCCCAAAAGGGGGGGAAAAAAACGAAAAACCCACCTCTAAGAGCAAGGATATTGGTAGGTTCCAGGTGGCAGAGAAGTTACCTGTTCCCTCCTTTGGGTAAGTGCAGTGATAACTTTTCTGAAGCCTACAGGACCCAGTTTGTGCGTGTAGAGGAAAAAAGGTCTGTCTTTTATAAACTTGGGGTAGTGCTAAAGTGTTCAAACCTATGTTCGGATTTCTACTGAAAGCAAAGAAGTTCTGAGAAACTGAGATGCTACTGACTCCTTTAAGGAGTATAGCAGTTACTAGTTTTGTTCATTTCCTCCAGTTTGAGTAATGGATAGACAAATATGCAATCCTTGACCTTTTTGGCCTAGTCTTACTGGCTGTATTGCATGTGAAATGGATTTAATTTCAAAATCTGCTATTTATTTTTTTCAGTATGGAATGCATATTTTCAAAAGTGTCTATTTAGACTGATTATCTTCACTTGCCGTTTTTTGAATTCTTTTTGTATTTTGCCAGTAATTAAGGCACCCCTCCCTACACACACCAAACCTTGCCACCAAACACCGATATATAGGTATACATACTTTTCTCATAACAATGCTTTAGAAGGCTTAAGTAATTTTATACTTGACATGATAGTTTTAAGCTTAATATCAAAAGGTATTGAGATGTTTAATAGTTGCTGAGCAATGTAAGGAAATGCAAGTATCGTTATTCATTCATGTCTATATCATAGGCATTTTGGTTTTTAAGGAGACTTCTTGTTTTGTCAAGAAACTATTACTTTGTATCTTTTTCATAAACTTTTCTCCATCTGAAAATACAAACAGTTAACCTCTCTTGCTGATACCTTGTTTTTAGTATTTCCTCATATTTTGAGGGCACAAACTTGAATATTTTTTGAAACACTTTATTCTGGATTTTTCCCCTAGTTTTAGAACCTTAGAATGACCATATCCCAGTTTAAAAGACTGAAGAAAGGGTGCTCTGTCACCTGTGGTTTAATTATGAACATTAAGTATTGTTTGGTTAGATCTGCTGTTACTGTTTCAGTGTGACCTTGTAGATCAGGCAAGTTTTTCAGCAAGCCTTTTATTGTTTGGGACAATCTGGCTAGCACGTTTCCATTGTTTAATGTGTATGTTTACATATGTATTCACATATTCTAGACTACACCTTATAATACTCCTCAGATATTGCTGTGTCACAAGCCTGACTTTAGCAGTGGGTCTGTCTTAAATAAAGATAGTTTCTTCTTGTAGAAAAGATACTTTTCTCCATTTCTCTGTTGTAGAGTGGGAAGAAAAATAACTTGATTGCTGTTCTACCCTGGCAGTTGCCAGGCTTAGCTTTTCTTTTATCAAGTAGAGAACTAAATTTTGCCTTTACTTCTGACTGCTGATCCAGTCTTCTAGAGGTGGCTTTCCAGTTATCACTGAGCAATTAGCCTTTCTTTCCTTGACTTGTTGCTAGCCTTCTTCATGGGAACAGTTTTTCTCAGAAATGTGTAGTTTAGGTAACCAAAAGGCTCTGCCATGGGCAGACAGAGAAGGGCAAACAAGGAGAGAGAATGGAACGATCTTCTAGCCTTTCTGCAGCTGACATTTAGTCACTTGAAGTACATGCTAATAATCCTGCAATAAACTGCTGTCACATAATAGATGACACATTAAAATTCAGCTATATAAACACAAATGAAAATTGAAGTTGCTTTATGTTATATCGGAGGACTGTTCAAGTGATAGAGGGAGAGATGTTTAACAGAAAAGTATGATAAAGATTTTGAAGCTGGATAACAAATACTAGTAAACAATACTGATGAGGTTGCTAGCGTCGGTCATATCTCAAAGGTCGCTTTAACTTCCACAGAAAGTGAGAATGTTGTTTCTAGCAGACAGTATAATTCCTGTTTATGGGACTAGGTGAAAGATATTACACCCCACAAGCAAAGAGGTTAGGGGTCATTTTTCCACAGTTTTAGTGGATATGGAATATTGTGGTAATTTTGTATTGTACTCCATAACAATGTCTCATCCTCTAACCTTAAATTTGTCTTCAAGCAATATAATGTGTAGCGTAAGTGATGATGAGGCCCTCTAGTGTCAGTATTCTTAAAAACATGCCATCGTTTCTGCTGTAAGTGTAACAATTCTCTCTAACTTCAGGGTTACATTTTTTTCGTAAAACTTCTTACCAGGCAACTTACTTTCACATCCCTATCCCATCTAAATGTGCTTATATTTGACTTAGGAAGGTTTGCCAGGTCTAGCACTTCTAGGATGTTAAACATGCATTTCAGAAATGATTTCCAAGCCAATCTCCTGGTTTACAGCACTGTGTGGAATTTATATTCCTGTAACACAGCATTCTAAATATGTTAATAAATCCTTTATTTTCCCACATCAGAACTCTTGAGCATTATATAGGGAAATTTCCTGAACTAGAGCAGTTGAATAATTTATCAGATAAAATCAATAGCTGTTGTTAGAATTCCCTTCATAACAGTATTATGCAAAATCCAGAAGATGAGGAGATTGAAAAGGCAGCCCTTAATATTGGATAAGGATAGAATTCTTGAATTCTCTGTTGTGTGATGCCATGCTTCTCTGGCTGACAGAAGGAGCAAACTAAATAGGCCATGGAGGAGGAATAAAGGACAGCACAGGGATTGCAGCAAAGGAGGGGTTGAAATTTATTGAGAAGGAGAGCAAACAAACCCAAAGCATCCATAAATTGCACAAAAGCAGTACTAAACCTTGGAGTTGTGGACTGATGTTCTTTGTATGCATTTCATTTAAACAAAATATACTACAACAGTAAAGACTTAAAGAATCTAGATTGTCTTTTCTAGAATTTAAATTAACCATCTACCCCACTTTTCCTACAGTTACTTATGTAACATGTTCTCTGTATAGCAAAGTTGTGAGTCAAGACAAAACACTTCTGTAAGCCCTCTTTTGGGAGCCTCTTAACCAGAAACAGATGCAAAAAGTGCTTTACCATCAGAATCCAGGGTAGCGTTTCCTTGATCACAGGATACTTCAGGTTGGAAGGGGACCATTTTGAAATACTTCATTTTGATATGATGTTTATTATATATATCAAAATAAAATACTTGTAAAAAGGTTGTCATGAATGAAGGATTAAGCTGGATTGGACCTCATGTATCTGCTTCTAAACTCAAAGCTTAAGTAATAATGAATGCTAGTGGTTGTAGACAGACGCTAAGAAAAAGCGCTTGTAGCTATGGGGGAATTTTGGTTGCAGATGGTGGCTACCAGCTTTCCAAAGCAGTTATGTCTCTTTTTGTAAGTCCTTTAAGGTAAATCTAGTATTATTTCTGGTAGCTATAAAAATAGTTACCCTCATAGTTTCCCCTGTTAAATTTCAATTTGCGGCTTCCTCTCTATCAATAACCAATGTTGTTGTTTGTGTGTTTTTTTTTTTTTTTTTACTGAAAGTTATGTAACTCTCAGAGCAGCTCTGGTCTGCCTCTGCCCACTGCTACTTTTTCAGTGACTGAGCGACAGGGTGCCCTTGGATATTTTGAGAAGGTAACTTCTGTCTCCCTTTGTTTTGGATGTTGTTCTCATCCCGTTTAGAACCTTATTTTTAGACCCGTATTCCCCTGGTTTTCAAATTCTTTCCTTTTTCCTGTGTTCCAAACAAAGCTAGCTGCAGATAATGCTTAATGAGTTTGAGGACTCACTGCCATATTGATGCAGTGAATTTCTAGTTTGTCATTTCTATTGTACTCCATAGTTTGAGGAAAAAATCTCAAATATCAGTCTTCATAGCATATGTGGCAATGCAATAAGCAGTTCAGTAAAGCAAACTACAGAACTCCCTGGGGCAAGCTATCCTGAGATGGAAAGCTTGCATGTTCATTTTTGATTGCAATTAAAGTATGAGAATATTTTCCTAAAAGGGAGCTTTAATTTTAGAGCTGATGGTCAGGAGCTGAGAGGTGCTTGAAATAACATCAGGTTAACATTTCATGGAAATGAAAAAATTTTCTTTGTTTCCCTCTCTTTAATTTACTTTCAAAAATACTTCCTGGACTTCTGTAGTCATCCTCTGTGTTCTAACTCCTTCTCTGCCACCCCTCTCCCCCCCCCCCCCCCCGCCATTTTTTTTTTCTTTTGAATTTTTCTTACTATCTGATTTTCTCCATTAAGTAAAATTCACAGTATTTGTCAATTTCAGTTTTCTTCATATAGTGTATAATAAAACAGACCAAAGGATGTCAGTATGCCTTACGTGTCAGTATGCTTTTTATACACTTAAAGCTGTGATTCTCACCTTACTAATATCACAGCACTGAATTAGAACATTAATTTTTATTGTTGATAAATGTTGTTCTCTAAAATGTTTCTATGAGGAAAAGGGTTTCTGCAAGTTCTGAGTGCCAAAAGGAGGTTCAGATTGTTCCACTATTAGCAGTAAGGTCTTGAGTACAAAGCTAAGATCTGTTCAAGCTTGTTTGGCATATTAGGTTATGTGAAAGAGTAAATAAGAATGAAAACTTGCCTTATTCTTAATAATGTATTTTTAAGTCAGCCTGTAATGCTCATACTTTTCATACCATCAAATAATACCCTAAACTTTACCTATTTATTTTTTCCATTGATACAATTTGCTTATCAAAAAAGTGAAATGTGCCAACTTTACTTCAATGGTAGTTTCACTAGAAACTCAATCACCTGCAGTAGAGCTTACTATATTCCTTGTGGTGGTTGCTGTATCTTATCTACATACTTCAAGTGAAAGTGTTTCACGTAGTTTATTTTTTTGGCTTCTTTTTTTATCATATGTAATCTGTGTCACACTGCAGGTGCTGCTGTTTTTTCAAGCGAAGGAAAAGAAAAACCATTCAACGCCAGAAATGACTTTAGAAGCAAGCAGAACATGGGAAATTGATTACTTGTTCAACTGCTGTCTTGTGATCTAAAAAAATCTCTGTAATGACCACACATGTTTTCCAAGGACTCCCTTAGAAATGAAGTGTCTTGCCTCTGTGCTTTGGTTCTCCTATGTCCATATTTTTTAATTTGTTTATTTCAGAAGCTTTAAAGTCTCATCAAATACGAGTGCTTCTTTGACCATCAATAAATGGACCAACAAAATGGACACTATCTTCACTAAAGCTAAACTTCAGAAACATTTCTCCTGCTCTACAAAGTATTAGTGGTGTCTTGGCTGAAGAAAGAAGTCATAAATTTGGTGTTTCACTTCTGTAACAGTGTATCGAAAGGAGTCTTTAAAAAAAAGTGGAAAAAATATAGATGCTCAAGCATTTAGAAAAATAAGTCTTACCTTAAGATTTTTTTTTTGCATTGACCCCCCCCCCCATATTACTGATGGTACTGCAGTCAATCTGTATTAGCATCAAGTCCTCTATGATATCATGGTACAGTCACTGTCCAGAGAGATCAGGTTGGAAGCTGCAGTGCAGCTGAAGACAGTTGTCTAAATGCTGGTGGTATTAATGAACAAAAAGCATTTCTAGTAGTCTGAGTTTGAAAATCTGCTTTTGTCATTCCTATAACAGAGTTGCAGTATAGTAGAAATGGCGAGAGTGTTTGTACAAAAAATGCAGATATTTGAATAACGTAAGTTGTGCTTCCAGAAATGTTAGTAAGATTGAAATATTTTCAAAAGAAAGGATCTACAGAGGAATGATAAAATACACTAAGAAGAAATAAATGTGAATTTGATTAAAGTAGAATTGATATTAAAGCCTAAATATTCACTACAGTAACTGCTGATTGACAACTCTTTAAATTGAAAATGTTGATGTGCCATGTAATGATGTTAGAGATCTGTTTGTAAATTATTTTACTCTTTGATTTTAGAAAACAGATGCAATGAAAGTGGGTTGGACTTCTACTGCCTTCTCTGTGTACTAGCCCATAGCACCCAAAATCTGCTGTGATTTTTTTTTCTTCTGCAGTTTTCTTATCTTTCAGTATAATATTACTGCTATTGTAAGATGATGTGGCAAAGAAGGGTCAGGTACTTTCCCCAAAGTCCTAAGAAGTGCCTGCAATATGAGCAAACCAGCTGTTCTTGTAGAAAAGGCAGCCTATTTTATTTTTTCAAGTCTGCTTGTTTTAAAGCCATAATGACAGAGGTGTGCTATTTTCACGTTTAGCTTCCAGTTAATTGGAAGGATGGAGTAAAAGGTGGAAGTGACTAGACACATTTGTTGACCAAAACTCAAATTCTCTCAATTTTTTTTTACAAGTCTTCTAAAGCTAACTAGTAATATTTTTTTCTGTACACGCATGCCTCTTGGCATATTTATTTATTTTTAATCTGTTTTGTGGTAATACTTAATGTATATTAAAGATAAATGCACACCTTTGAATTCATTATTGCATTTACAGGGATTTTAATTGTATTTTGTAATTTATTTTTCCTTAACAGCCAAAAGTGTAGTGCATTGTTTGAGTTATGTGCTCGTATGAACACAGTGTGTACTTTGATCTTTGTCACATTGCTGTTAAGTTTTTGTTTTAAAAAAACTGAGCTTGGCCTACAAAAACATGTTGTATAACTTGATCAACAGTCTCTGCTCTCCCTGTTTGTGGTATTGATTATCTCAAACTGATGGGAGTTGCTTTTCTTTTGAGCTGAAGAGATGGGAGGTTACTTGACCATTCTAATGTGAAAACGCATCCTTTTTTGCAGTATTTGACCAAATTTGTTGCTTCATAATATTTGTAAATACATATAGTGTCTGTATTTCTCATACATCTGACTGGTTTCCTTCTTGGAGATTTTGGGCCTGTACAGCGTTTATAAGATGAGAACTCCTTACACATAACAATGTCTGTATTAATCCAGTTATGGACCTAAAATATTTTAAAAGGTAAAATCTGTTTATTTGCTGCAATGACCAGTATTTAGACACTTGCTTTTTAGCAGTATTTAAATGCTCCACTTTAATGCTGAAGAAAGTTTTCTTCTAGCAAAACAAACTGGTCAGTAGTAAGTAATGCAGGTATGTTCAGGTAAAGCCAATATGATTTGCATTTATATGCTTTTTTCCTATCTAAACTAATGAAGTCAACATTGTCTGGATGTCTAAATAATGAAATACATCCCTGTTTAATTGTAACTGAAGAGAAAAATAAAGGTAGTTTTTTTAACTTGCCTTTTTTCCCCTTTCTACACTCTTGGATGAAATAGTAGAAGCTGTTATTTTGAGAATTGCTGAACAATTATAATAGCAGTACCTCGACATTGCAGTTATGGGTATGTTTGCTGAGTTAGTAGGTGTTATTGTAATATGCTTTAGTACACCTAATGATAAAAAAAAATAGTGAAGATATTTCAATGCGTGTGTTATTAACTAGGAGATCTACTCAGTGTATCTGTGGGTCTGCCCTTAGTACAGTTCTGTGCTACCTAGAACGAAAGCCATTGCAGATGCATTGACATATGCAAGAAATGCATCTTAATTTTGCAGGGTAGATATCAAGAAAAGAAGGCCTCAGAGTTAATTCCTCTGTCAGCAAACGTACGTGCACTATAGAGATTACTGTTCTTATCTGTAGAGCATTTGCTATGCTACAGAAGCAGAGCATATATATTTGAGAATCAATGTTTATAGGAAATTGGTTACTAACCTTGTAGGTAAGATTCCTAGAATTTTTCTTCCTAAATTTTTCTTCATAGGCAGATGTTCTCATTTGCTTGTACCTTTAGAGATTTAAACAGATTTAATCATTTATTTTAATTCCGAGTAGTTTTCATCAAAACTTCTCTGAAACTTGGAATTTAATGCATGAGTCTTTAATGTACCCTGCTGTGTACTTTTCGGTAGCTTTTTAAAGGATATTTCAAACAAACCTGAGGTTGCAGAGTCCAACAGACTCTGTGGTTGTGTCAGAATTAAGGCAGCTTCATTGATCGTCAAGTCATAGAATTAAATATTTTTTCCCCATATATCTTACTCTTTCGGTGTGCTGGATGAGTGACTGAACTAGTAACTGAACTAGTATAGTTTTCAATATTTTCAATTTTCATATTTTATTGTATAATAGACTTTTTCATATCTTTTTCAGCCTTATTATCCATTTGAACCTTATTCCAAATACAGCTTTACTGAGTATTTTGTGGGACTTCCTGCTTGATATTGCAGGGTATTTAAGATATGTATGTCTTCACACAACTTGCCTGTGAAATATTATCCCCGTTGTCTGCAAAGGCTATTGGACACAAAAGTGGTGTTATAAAAACAAAGCCTCACCAGTGTCATTAACTAGTTTGAGATGCATGTTATTTGGTTTTTATTTTTCAGACTAAACTTTTATTAAATACTCAAGAGCAATGAGTGTTTAGCTCCTCATTCTCAAAATGGACAACCAAAAAGATGGAATATCAAAAAAACTACTTGGGAAAGTTTTGGATAGTTTGTCTAGCATCATGTTTGTGATGGTCTGGGCTTTAATTTTTAGGGAGGTGTTTTTTACAGTGCAGATCTCTGCCTCAGTGCTCTGAGCTTTTCTCTTTTCTGCAACAAGGAAGGTGATTGATCTATATGGCCTTCTGTGATAGTCAAGTACTCAGTTTCATGAAAACTTAAAGCACTTGATGGACAGAGCAAACGATTAGGAATTAAGGATTCAATGAGTTGTGATCATTGTACCTGACATTTGTATGTTAATTTCTGAATGGCCTTTAGCTTCCCTCTGGAAAAAATGTGAGACTACAGAAAAGTTGACTGAGGATTTGTGAATCCCAGACCATGCCCTGTCTGCTTTGTATTCCAGGCTTGGAAAATGACCTTAAATTCATGACACTGAATTGAATGTCATACTGAGACATAATCTCTTAATACTCCTGGATAGAAGGCTGAGCCTTCTAGATCTCCGAACAGCATTCGAAAATGTTGAATGTGAGATATTGCTGTTATATTGAAAGAAGCAACAAAGATCCAGAGCGGTGAGCTATAGTGCACTGTGAGGCACCTGTTTGTAGCAGTCGGAAATTACGAGCTGTTTAAGAAGTTCTACTAGGATCAATTCCTAGTCCTATTTGAGATCATCTATAACTAGATAGATTGATCAACTAATAAACTGAGATTCTAGGTTTATACTGTTACACTGTTTTTTCAAATGACCAAAGTGCTGTTACTGAGTAGCCAAACCTTGGCCAAGAAGAGTCATAAATAAAAAGAACAGCCTATCTGAAGATGAGCTTGAGTGTACTGAAGGACCAGAGTTATTGCATGTCCCATCAGCTGTGGATGTACCACCTGCATTCCAGCTTGTAGAGTTGTGCTGAGAATCCCTGCTTTTAGGCATCAATGCCTGTTGAGAAAGAGGAGTTGGAGGGAAAGTTCCTCTAAAGTATTGGCTGGATGACAATAGATACACACAAGTCAATCAGAATTTGTCAGATAAACCTCACTGCGTGGACTGAAATCAGAGGTGGATTAAGCAATCTAAATTTGCTGAGGCAAAGCTGAACTTGCCTCATGAATGCAAGAAATCTCATGTGATGTTCAAAATCAATGTTCCTATAAAGATTTTTCTATGTTCAGGAAGCTTATTCTATAACTTTATCATGCTATACTCTTTTTTTTTTTTTAAATAGTTGCAAGCATTTTTTTCTGGCAAAACAAGGTAAATGCCTTTAGTGTCTTCAAAAATAGCTGAGAGTTTCAGGAAAAACTGGGCCTATGTGTCAATGACCAGTGTAGGGTATTTCAGCAGTGTCTCTTAATGTTGCCTCAGATTAGTATCAGCTTTTGGCTATTGTATCAGTAAGCAACCTATCATGCGGCATCTAAATGTCAAATGACATCCTGTGTATAAATAGTAACCAATTTTTGTCCTGTACCTTTGATTCAGAAGAGATAATTCATTTGCCTCCTGCCTTTGGCTATTTCCACTATACAGAAGGCCACGTTTTTGGTATTATCCCTCTGCCTGCCCCATCCCTCAAGGCTAGGTTTTCTGGCTTCCTATCACTAGGAGTAAATAACACTTCATTTGAAACAAAAATTTGGTTTGCAGGGAAAACCTCTGCCTCTTGGAGGCAAATGTCATATTTTAGATTGTATGGTGTCTTTGAACTTCAGACTTCTCCAAAGGAACAGATTCCACTTAACAGATTTATGATGATCTCCTGTAAGGGTGGATGCGTCCTTGTCACTTAATCTTTAACAGTTTTTCTTATGCTTCATCCTAGGTTAATTTAAAATCTATAACAAAAAAGATTATAGAGTGTTGGTATATGTGGGTATACTTAAACTGAAGTGTCTCCTGAAAGAAAATTTGAACTGCTTAAATTTGTCCTGTAAGCTGCATGTTTGTGTCCTTGGGTGAAACTTGAAGCCACAGTGAGCAACAGAACACCTGTTCATTGCATTCTGTGTGCATATTTTCCCTCGTGAGTAGATGTGTGTTCCAAGGCCCTGGATAGGGTAAAAACTTTCATGCAGAATTTGCATAATCATCATGATTCAGTAATGCCTCTTCTCATGATTATGTCCTCACGTGTACATCTTTCCCTGATGATTAAAGAGGAGACATGCAAGAAAACATTACTTGGATACAAAATTTTCTTCCCTTTCTCCTTTCTTGTTCTGCTTGGCTCCCCTTTTTATGGAGAGATCCCATGTGCAGCCCTTAGTGTTGTGCTTAAAGTGGCTCTTGGGCAGACTGAGTACTTCGAGGTAAATTTATTGCATGGCCCCACGGAAGTGCTTTTGACAGCACAAAAACTGAGGAAGAAGGGGGAGTGGTGATGAACAGGGACAGGGTGGAGCTACTTCATTTGAGAGCAAAGCTGACTTACGCTGCTTTAAAATTCTTGTCCAGCAATAATCTTAAGTGGAATCATATTCCAAATTCAAGAAGGTAACCAAGGAAGCACATGTGTAACTGAAAATTAGTGAGGTGTTTCTATGTTTGGTGAGAAAGTCTCCATGGACCAGTGCAGAAGCCCATCTTCTATCATCCTGACACCCAAATTTTAATTCTTAAACTACAACTTGCTATGCCTATTTGCTTTGTCTCATTTTGGGCACAATGATTTGCATTCCTAGGTCCAATGGTTCAACCTCAAACGGGTCAAAAACATCCTCAGACTGTTCTTATATTAAGGTTCTTTATTGGGAAGTAAGAGCAATAAGTTTGACCTCTCTCAGCCTCAGATACTCCTAGAACCAGCTGCCTTAGATGAATATTTTACCACCAAGCTACTAAGGGAAAGCTGGTTGCCATTAGTAGTGGGAACATCAGGGGGACGGAGAGGAGCAATATTCTCCTGTTGATCAGAGAATATTCCATGTTCCAGGTCAGGTGTAAATGTAGGTTCTGTTTTGGTAGGTCTGACCTGCCCATCTACTTAATTCCTATCTCCCTAGAGTTCAGGACTGTGGCATGTGATCTTTCTTACTGATTAGAAAGCTTCTGGCTTGGGGAGTGGAAGAAATGGGAGAAAGAGGTGGTCTGTGACCACCACTTGTGAGATGTTTCATTCTGGAGCCTAAGCACTTAACTCTGTCTTCCAGTTGGGATATGCACTTTGTTTTCAGGCATTGCACCAATTAATTTCGAAGTGCTAAAGCAGGTGCTCTGACTCTCACTTCAGATGCTTATTGTTTTAGAAATACTCAAGCTGAGGAGGGAAAAAGGCATTAATGTTTACAAGAGAGTAATGACAAGCAGTTTGCTTTGCCTTCTGTTTCCTGGTGACTTGAGTCAGGTAGCTTGTCTATTGTTGCAAATTAGTGTTAAGTGAAAGATTGCTCTGTGCTTGTTGTATGTTATGCTTCAGCAGACTGTGCTATAGAGTGCCTGTATGCTCTGTAGAAATATTCTCCTATTCAGGAAGTTTTATTGCTTTTGCTACTTCTAAGCTCTTCTCATTCTCTTAGCATGGATGCATTTGTTGTAGTGTAGAAATGCTTTATACCACTATATCTCACTTTCATTTAGAACCGGTAGGGAGTTTCGGTATAACATGTCCTTATATCGCTACAGCTGCATCCTCTGCAGAGCTCAGTGCTACAACTGCGCTGGTTTAAAAACAAACACTGCTTCCCCCCCATAACTGGTACAGCTCACTTGATATTTTTATATCGGCAAAGTTTTAAATGCAAACAAACTCTAAGGCACAA